TTTACTATCCCCTGTGTGCCTTGATGAGAAGAGTTTATGCTCCAAATTTCATGATATATAGATTTATATAAAAAATATGAAAATTATATTACCAATATACAATCGTGACCGTCTGATCGGCCCAGATTCAATTTGGGCCGTTGGGCTTACGTTGTTCCATGACCAAATGGGCTCACTTTAGCATCTTTCATATATATATATATATATATATATATCTACAAAAAAATATTTTACATAAAATAAATTGACCAAAATACCCCTAAAAACTTTCAGGGGTATTTTGATCAATTTGTTTTCGTGAAATATTATTTTTTATATTTTTATTAGGTGCGCCTCACTAAGATGTACACAAACTCGAAATTTCAGATCATTCCGATTTGTAGAAAAAAAATGAAAAAGTGAAACACTACCAGACAATCGTGATGGTGCGATGAACTTTGGACAGTGATGAGGGTAGGCGAAATCACTGTTCATTTTCACCTATAGGCGTTGGAAAGAATTTTCCTATATATGTGTGTGTGTGTGTGTGTGCATGTGTATGTGTGTATAATTAGCTGGGCAGCTGTAATAAATAGTAATATAAGTAGAATCCCAGCCATGAGATCTTCATCGAGTGGTTCAAAATACATATCACTATTTTAATTTTAATTTTTTTCTATAAATCTGATTAAGATGAAATTTTGGGTGTATATACCTAACACTCTTGTGCACCATATTAAAAAAAATAAATTTATTTTCAATAATTTAAAATCTCCAAATTACCCATCATTTTTCAGGGGTATTTTGATCATTTTATATTTTAGAAAATATTTTTTATATATTTTTTAAAAATGTGTCCTATTTTTTAGTACACACGTCTAAAATTTCATTATGATACGATTTCTAAAAAAAATAATAAAATTCATATAGTGATATGCATTCTGAACCACATGATGAAGATTTAACGGCTGTGATTCCACCTATATTACTATTCATTATAGCTGCTTAAGCTATTGTAAAGTTTACTTTCTCTCTCTCTCTCTCTCTTTCTATATATATATATATATATATATATATATATA